TAACTATTGTTTATTACTTGCATGTTAATTCTACTGAAAATGTATTTAAAAACAAACTACATAAAATGATATTTTGTCTAACTTTCAGTAAAACACAAAATGTATAGTTCAAACTGAAAAATGAAATTTTAAAGCTTTATTCAGCTGCAGAAAGTCTGAAGGGTTTTATTTTGCTTGTTTCACATGATTGTAGAACAAATATATTCCTAATGTTTTTTATGCAGCTAATTATCCTGAAGTCTTTTACATTGTTGTGTTTTTAAATTATCAAAGTATTTCTAAAACAAGCAGAGTAAAAGTAAAACAAAGAATCCTGGGAACCGACAGAAAAAGCTGCAGTTCATTGATCTGTCCGCCAGAGGGCGCGAGCTCCTCACCTGCGTCATCAATGCACCTGTTCTCCGTGAGGCACAGGGCTCTCAGGACTGAGCGCACCGCATCTTTTCACGTCTAAAGAATTAAAGGCAGTCTGCTGCAGGACCGGATGTTGGAGATTAAATCTAAAACATGTTTAATGAAGTTTTACCTGAGCAGGTAATCCACCTGCAGGTGTGTCGGAGGTGAGTGCCCCTATCCATCTCTGTCCAGAGGAACAGGTTTGACTCACAGAGCAGGAATCTGCAGCTCAGACCGTCTGCAGGACCAGGACCATGGGGGTCTCTGATCTGTCACGTGACGGAGCTTCTGTTTTTTTTATTTTTATTCATTCTCAGGGTGAAACGTTTTGTCAAATCTATAAAAATGAAATAAATCAGAACATTTTCCACAGTTTGGAGGAGAAACAGTTTGAATAATTTCCATTTTTAGTTCAGTCCGGGTGTTTCCATGGCGCGTCGTGACGCACAGGAGAAGGGTGTGTGTCTGTGTGTGTGTGTGTGTGTGTGTGTGTGGGGGGGGGGGGGTTCGTTTGAATCCCTGCCTTCTCTTATTAAATGTTTTATTCTTTATATTAAAGCTTAAAAAGCATGTTTGAATGAGATGTTTCCATTTCAGGCTGTAATTTAATTTAATTTTTCTGGAGGAGAAAAGTCTCTCCTGACAGATTTAACATCATATTTAATCATGTTTAAGCTTTAAAATAAATACAAACCTTTAATATATGAGATGAATCACATTGTATTAAACTGAGATGTTAATGAAGGGAAATAAAAAAAAACATTTTATTTTATATTATAAAATGTAAACTTGGTCTTACCTTCTGTTGGGATCCTTTATAAACAGCTTCAGTTTGATGGTTCAAAAGGTTTAAAATGAAAATATAAATATTTACTAATCAAATCAAATCAAATCAAATCAAATCAAATCAAATCCACACTGTTGGTGTTTTGGCTGAAAAAGATGAACCTGCTCTCCTTCATGGCTGAAAGAAAATGGAGACTCCGCAAATTTCTGCGCTCTTTCTGCGCCCCCCCCC